ACCGAAACTTTTTCATATTCAAAACTAATCTTTAGGGTTTTAAGTGTAAGTCTCCTAAATGCTAATTAGTTTGTGCTTTGTGAATTTAATTGAAATAATAATGATTGGTTTGTGCTGTTAATTAAAATGTGAAATCAGACCCAAAAGCGTACTTTCTCTAAATAAACGCACACTTTAAAAAACGGTTTTTCAAAATTGAGCAAAAATATGCCAAAATAGCTCCGAAACAAATGCTAGTCGAATATTAAAACTCCATACTCAAAATTGAAATATAGGCTCAATTTTGAGCAAAATGCTTAGTTGCAAAAGTGTTGTGAATGAAGGAAAATGTGCAAGAGATGTTCATGGCTGGCGGCAGGATACAAGCCATAGACCCCCATAATCGTAGTAGGATGGTCGGACTATAGTTGTTCATTTCAGTTTCGGAAGAGTTTGGTAACTTTATATAGTGGTCGCCGCATTGGGCATCATTGCTTACTAATTTCCGATATCATATGGTGCAAAAGGTTTCAATTTCATAAATATGGACCTATTAACTTAGTTAAGTGATCGGTAATTATAGTTTCACTTTTTGCCAATTTCGCTACATCATCAAAACTTCTAAGCATGTATGCCATTGTGTGTTATTGCGGTGGCCACTCGGAGATCCTAGGTTCGAATCCTGTCGGTAGCCAGCGACTATCTTTCTCACATATTCCTCCCTTCACATAAGTTTTGAAGCTATGCATTTTGCTCAAAAATTATATGCTAATCCGATTTTGAATACATGGGGTCTGCAAATTTGACTATTATTTGTTTATTGAGCTAATTTGAAACATTTTTGCTCAAATTTGAGAAACCTCTTTTTTACAGTGTAGCTTTATTTCGACTTCTTTGGATTATCTCTCTGAAATACGAGGGGAGGGGGGATAGCACCTTTCAGGCAAACAAATCTTTAAAATCTGAATTGGGGGAAAAATTATAAGCCTTAAATTAAAAATTAATTGATTTAAAATGTATTCTAATCAGTCAGGCACATATTAGATGATGGAAAACCTATTAGATGGAAAATTAAAAAAAATCTAAATTAGTTTTCTGGTATGTTAATAAAGCATGTAAAATACTTTTAAGAATTATATATTAAAAGCTAACGTTTTAAATTATAGATTACTGTAAGAAATTTTTCTAACAGAGATATCTTGAAAATGAAAAATTTATGATTTATTCCCTGTAATATTAAAATAGCTGTATCTATTTTCAAAATCGTAATACAAAAATTTGCTTTCGATTTCCAATCCATTTGTTATAAATCAGAAATTATAAATACATTAATGAAATTTAGTGTTATGTGAAATGAAAGCGAAAACTTGCTTGTAAGTAAACGGAAAAAAAGCTTATCACAATTTAAATGATTCGTATCCGGGATTCGACATATCCATTTAAATATGATATATTATATTACATCTTAAAGTATTTGTCGAGCAAAAAGGAATAGTTTTTTTTAAATGGTATTGATTCTGACAACATAGTACAATTTTTTGAAAAAAAATATTTATTAATGAAAGTACATTTCTATTATGACTGGGTGGAGCAGTTGGTTTGTCGTCGGCCTTCTGAGCCCAAGTCTGCGGGCTCGATCCCCGATCCAGACACCGGATTTTCGGGCTGCAGAAAATCCTCAGCGGCCATGTCGTATGATTATGCGGCATGTAAAAGATCCCCGGAGTGCTTTATTGGCTCTTGGCATTTCCGGTAAAATTAAACTTCTAGTGCACTTTAGCATCCAAATAGAGTCTCGGTGCTGCCATCTAGTCTGGCAGAAATTAGACGTCCAAATTTACATGGTCACCGGTATCTCACCCATTGTGGTGGTCCTGAAAGAGTGGATACCACTTCTGGAGAACACACTAGGTCTGCTCATCGGGAAGACTGATTGTGCAGCTCATAGAAAATAAAAAAATAAAAAAACATTTCTATTATATGCCTTTTTTTTACGAATTTAGCAAAAAACGAATGGTAAAAAATTCAAAATGTTCTTTTATTTGCTGGTGATGCCTATATCTTCATAATATTCTGACAGAAAATTTGGTAAAAGTAAAGAGAAAACTTAATCATCACTTGTTTGAATAGAACAATTTCGTCAAAAAATCAATGTACTTAATACAATATATTGTTTAATACAATTGATTGGGATGTAAAAATAAAATAAAAAAGTGTGATAAAGTACTCCATTTTTAGGTGTCGGACTCAGGAAATCTGCTCGACAAGTGAGCGCACTAGCCCCCCAATACAATTCCTTCGCACAATATAAACAGTATAAGAACATACAAATAAATCTGTTGAACCATTTTTAGAAGAAGCTGTTTCATAAAAGGTTTGAAAGTTCAAGTTTTCTTAAATCTAATGTGATTGTGTTGTAAAATGATTGTCAAAAATAACAAAACGCAGCTCATTGATTGCTTAATTATAAAAAAAATGAGAATTTGTTTTAGAGCATAAGTTACTTTATCACAAATGTTACAGCTGAAGCTTGAAAGTTTTGCTAACATGCATATTACCTCGATAATTTGAAGATTAATCTAGGATGACCTGTTAAAATGTGGAGTTATTACTGTACATTACTGCTGGAGACATTAACTGCTTTTGCATCATTAAAATTCAAAAGTGGGTTTCTCACAGTTATAAAAAATGTAAAAAATAAATAAATAATATATTAATTTCCTTTGATGTAATAAAAAAAAACCGTTTGACATTTTTCTATTATAGTTAATAGTTAATTAATTCTATCACCTAATGCGTTGATTATTTCATTATATTAAAACGCTTCTTTAGATATTAAGAAATAATAAATAACGTTATGTAAATTCAAGTGTGCAGAACTGTTCAGCAAAGATTTCATTTTCTCGTTAAGGAGTACCTAGTAAGTAGTGTTCAGTTTAACAAGTGCCTAGTTTGAATTATGCAAATTCTATTATGAAAGTGCAGATTATTTTGGTAATTCGATAAATGAAACAATTTTCCGTACTTTAATTGATCAACTTAGCTAACTGAACACTATTTAGATAATCTAGAGAGCAATTGTCATACATGTAAATTTATAATGAAAGTACAACATGTAAAGCGCATGTTACCGCTGAATTTCTGTAATCACTTACTCTACATAATTATTCGGGTAATGAGAAGCTAGTTAAGGTGAACCATTATATATATAATAAATTATATAAATATTATAATCCATTAAATAATTTATTCATTTTCTAATTAACTAGGTAATATGTACATTACCTGGAGAGTTTTATTTTATATTTTATAACCGACCCAATTTTTGGATTTACGACTGCTAATATTCAACTCCGTAGCCTTGTAATTTTGAACCCAATACAGAAGACAAGGGAACTCCTGGATAAAGTATTGGGAGAAATTTTGCCTTCGCGGAGTTCTTTTAGATGGTACTAACCCGCCTTTGCGTTACATTGAGAGGAAGACTACGAGAACCTTCCACGGTTAGTCTAACGGCCAGGGGGTTCTAGCCCATGATGTGTGCCACTGAGGATATTTTACGTCAGCAATGTGGTCGGTGCAGACCGGATGCGGAATTCGCATCGATCAACCATCGCTGGGATTCAAACCCGGTTCACCTCATTAGAAGGCGAACGCTCCATCCCTTGTGCCATCTCGGCTCCACATTACCTAGATGTACATTACCTAGATGTACATTACCTAGAGATGTACATTATCTAAAGAGCTTACACAATTCTGACGAAAACGTAAAAAATTATGGCTGAAATTTTGGTACAAATTACCAGCACTTAGGGTGCCGGAACTTTGTACCGCAAATTTCATTTTTAACGGAACATGCAAAGGAAAAAAAATCTAATGTAACGTAATTTTTACGAAATAAATATCATAAAATCACTGAATCACTCCAATTATATTACTGTAAATATTATAGTAGTATAGTATTTGACGGTGAAGTGGATTTTATAGATGAATCACCCAAAATGCCGGTACTATATACCGTAACTTACTCGGAATTTTTTTACAGTATAGTTAGTACTGTGGAATTTTTCTATGTGCTGATTACCTTGTACTGATTACCTTGGAAATTGGAGAAATGAAACAATTTTCAACATTTTAATGGATTACCTTAGTTAACTGCACATTACTTAGATAATCTGTAGATTAACACGTTGAATGACGCGGGGGTTGCCGGTGACCGGCACTGAATTTGTTCGTAGCGCAACGGGGGTCACCGGTTACCGGCGAAGATAAGAATATTAGAAACACATAATTCGAGGAAATTTTTATTTTTTTTAATATTATTATAGTTACTGAAATGGTTTGAAGAAATTAATGCAATATAGAACACACAAAAATAGCGTTATTTATATACACAGAGATGCCAACTTGCTCCGGAAAGCGAATAAATATTTTCAAGTGGTAGTTTATTAATTGTGATTCTTGGTTTAATAAAAATTCAATTTAGTAGATTTTTATCCACCACTATTTCTAAACAATTCGTAGGCTTATATAATTCACCACTTTTATCAGATACGTCACGCTAAACCTTTTAAAAAAACTAGCAAAATCGGTCTAATATTTGCAAATTTAGTTTGTTGTTTGTCCAGACGTGAAAGCCATGAAAAATTAGCGTGGCTTTCAACGTGTTAAGTAATTTCAACGCACTTCAGTTTTAACATAAGCTTAATGTATTGTAAATTGTATTACATTTCAAAACTAATTTGTTGCATGAAGATAAAATACAAAATTAACTTCTAAAATAAGAAAAAAATTGAAGAACAAAAAAAAAATCTAATTTTATTCAATTACATTAACTTTTCCAAATAAAGGTCTGAGACATCATCATTCTTCTCTTTAGTTAGAAATCCCATTGAGAACTAAGAGCATCCCTTCATCAAGAATCATTCTCTTTCTAAAGGATGGCGCGTGGGCACACGCATGCGTGCCATCTTCAGCCTCCGCGGACATTCCTCACCCCCCACCTGAGCCCTCATCCCCATCCGATCCCTTGTATCACTTCCCTGCAGAACAGAGATTGGGATTGAGGCCGATCACAAGCATTCGAATCTTATTCATTCCGTGTTAACTTTTATTTGGTGTTTTTATTCCATTGGATTGGCATCATCTGAGGGAACCATGGCTTGGGTGAGCAGTTGAAGGTGGTGTATTGGCTTGACCCATAGCCATGGCTGGAATGCGACACTTGCTGATTATTTTGATTGTTTATTTTCAGCAAGTTGACTGTGCCCGCGGTTTACCCGAGAATATTAGAATTGGTGAGCAATTTTTTTATGGCAATTAATTTCTACTTATGTTGGGGTTTGCTTTTCGAAATTGTTGCATTTTTAAAAAGATAACTTACGTTTTCACAAGAAAAAATATTTTATTACCCTGTCATTAATAAATTTATTTAATTGAAAGTCATAAAAAAAAATTTCTTAGCATATAAGTGAAATTTTAAGAAAAAAGTTAAACAAAGGTTAAAATATTACGTTTGCATACTTTTTTAAATTCATCTATATATGGTTCTTGAGTTTAAAATTTGGGTAAGTGTATTGAATAGCAATAAATGCATTTATATATCAAATTGAAATAATTGTTAAGCAAACCGCATTTTATTTTTTGAGAAATGAATACATTGTTGTATTTTTTTAAATTGTGAAATTTTTATGAAGATTACTTTAATGTTTTACAAAAAGAAAGCAATTTTAATATTTATTAAAAAAATTTTTTATTTGCAAGCTATGAAAATAAAAAACTTTTAGAATATAAGTTAATTTTTTGGAAAGAATAAAACAAAGATAAAAAAGTATGATTCATGAAAAAAAGCACGTTTATATACTTTTTAAATGTATCAGTATATGGCTTGTTAATTTCGCATTTCAGTAATGGTATTGAATAAAGTCATTGATCTATTTCATATGAATAATTTATAATCAAAGCGTGTTATATTTTTGTTGCAATAAATATTTACAAATTTTTATATTAATTTATTAAATTGTTATATTTTTTTTAAAAAAGAAGAACAGCTTTTGTTTTTTATAAAAATTATTTGAATACTTATCCTTAATGCATTTATCTGATTATAAGCAATAAAATGAATTTTTCAGATCGTTTCAGAGATAAAAACAAAAATAGCCTATGATTAAAAAATAACTATATTTTTTTAACGTATCAATAAATAGTTTGTTAATTTTAGAATGCACTAGCGCTAATAAATACAATATATCTGCTAACAATCAACCCTATTTAATTCATATATTTGAGGGTAAAAAAACAAACGACTGAATTACTTCACTAAAATCTTTTCAGCTTTCAAGGATGACCAACTGAAATTCACTAGCTGAAATTTCATAATTTTGATATTATAAGAGTTATACGCAATTATGACCAAAAGATACATAGTTTTCTTGCTATGTTAGTATGTATGTTTTGTATATTTTAGATTATAGGAAATGCAAATGTAACTAGAACAAAATGTATAAATGCTTCAGAAATGTTTTCGTCGAGTGCTTGAGGTCACTATAGAGTTGACGTGATTTTAGGGATCTTTCTTTTTTGTATTTAATGAACTTCTTCATAAGCAATTTTTATAGGAATAAAGATTTTTTTTTGAAATTTTTAGTGTTTGTGAAAATTATGAAATATTGAAAGAATTCTATATATTTCTAATAATTTAATAAATAAATTGAATCATAAATGAATTTCTTAAATAAATGTCTTAAATAATTGAATTTCTTAAATAAATTGAATCATGGATAATAATCGGATTAATACGATTCATAGAACTTCTGAAAAAATCTTCCTTCATTAGCTCATTTAAATCCTATATTATACATAATATTCTTTAAATATAGTTATTAATGTCAAATATGTCTAAAAGATCACTTAATGTAATTTTTAAATATTATTTGGCCAATAATTTTTCAAATGTTGAGAAAACATTTTGCTGTAGTTTGTATTGTTAGGATTGGCCAAGACTAATTTATCAAAACAGTATATATTCAAAAACACCCATTTTGATCAATTACAAAAAATCGCAAATACTAAGCGTTGAAGAAAAATTAAAATTTGCTTTTGTTTCTTCATAGTTTAGTGAATAATTTAAGACAAAACTATCTTTAATACATATGCGAATCAATAATACTTTAAATGAACTTATTATTCAGAGAAAAAAGTTACAGTATCGTATATTTTAGTAATGAAACGGTTTTATTTGCGTTACGACCATTTTTTTTTACATCCATTTTTCCTGGAATAAGAGTAGCGTGAATCTTTTCTTTAAAAGTAAACTTACATAGAGTGTTTCTTTTAAAAATTAATAACTCCTTATTACGATTAACAGTTTGAAGGATGCATTAATGAAATATAAGTAGAAATTAATGATTTAGTGAAAATTAAAATTTTTGTGCCATGTGTGATACAACTTGCCGTAATAGGTTGACTTTAAACAAGAAATTAAAATTGCATAAAACATTTTATGTCCAGTGCAAAAAAAGAGAGCTTTGGAATTTGATGATCAGATTTTCACATACTATGACTCAATCTTAATGATTCACGTCCTAACATTAAACATGTTATAAATTAATGCAGATGATATTAAATTGTGAAATTAGATGCAAGAATAACATACTTCCTCTGATTTTATCTACATTTTAAAGAATGCAAATTTTAATAGCAAAATTCAAACTTTAAATCAAATCAGCCAAATAGTTATTGGGAAATCAAATTATTAGTTTATGTCTTAGAAACGTTTTATCTTTTAGTCTTAGTAAATGAAAATCAAAAAAATATACAATAAAAGTCATAAACCTTTTTTCCCCTTTTAGTGAATTATACAAAACGCAGAATGAAAAGCGGAACATTCTTTTAACTTTTAATCTAACTATCCAATATTCTCGTAGTAAGACGCTATCTCATTGGTTTCACAGATTAATTCTACTCAGCTTAGAGCACAAGTTACTAAGAGATATTTTAAGTTAAGTCATAATGCAGAAAACGCAATTTCTCGGAATATATTTTCCAACAAATTTCAAATTGAAATTCGAAATAAGTAGGTTAGGAACACTCGGGGAAATATGAGTTTCATTTTTGTTTGAAGAGTGATCTATATATTAGAATTCCATTCATTAATGTTTTATGCTAAATTTCCGGAATTACTCCAACGAAATAAAATACTTTTACTCATATTTAAACAACTTATTTAATCTTTGACGCAGGATTGTCATTAAACATATTTTTCATACTTTTTTCATTATTTTGTATTAATAGGTCAAAATAAGCGAAAAATATTATGCTTAGCAATTTAAAAATTTATGATTATGGAATATAGCACGAAACGCTGGTCTTGCTTTTCGAAATGCTTTTTCTTGCCATATTTCTAATGTCTGAAGGATAAATCTTCCAAGCAGTATTTTTTTTCAAATTTGAAATTATTTGCATTTATTTAAATCCAAGCTAAAGCGTTATCAATCATTGGATAACTTTTTAATTTACCAAAATAACCTCTGATAAGTTTTTGATTTGGAATTTAAAAAAAATTAAAACTATTATTTTTTTTAATTTTAAATTTATCACAGATATAATTCCGTTAATCAAACATATTTTTTAGTAAGTATTAGAATCTTTTTTACAATTAAAAAATACCAAAATATATTTTTTCGTGTAATTAGAGAGTCAGAAAAATACGTGAAAAGGATACCGGTATCCTATTTGCGTTCACAATATATTATTTTCTATCTTTTTTTATTATTTCCCATCTTATTTCTTATTACTTCCTATCTTTTTTTGTTATTTCCTATCTTATTTCTTATTATTTCTTATCTTATTTCTTATTATTTCTTATCTTAATTCTTATTATTTCTTTTTATTTATTATTTCCTATCTTATTTCTTATTATTCATTATTTCCTATCATTTAATGTATTAATGATCGAACAAAATAAATTTGATTCGCAAGTTAAGCCATTTTTGACATCTATTGAAACATCGTAAATTTTAATAATGAAAACCAAAATTTTGTCGAAAACCTCCTTTTTTTTCAAAAAAAAAGACGTGCTTTATAAATTTTTATTTTTATGAGTTATTAGGGCGATAACCCTCAATTTTTTACTATCATTCAAAAATACTGAGTTTCAAAAGTCATAAGAAACTTTCGCACCTCTTAATTCAATTGTTTAGATTAGTTACAAATTAAATAATAAAATTGTGCAAACGATCATAAAATAATATATTTTACATAAAAGTATTTTCGGAAAAAATAATTATTTTATTGTGTGTAAATATTATTTGGTTTAGTTCCATACATGCTCAAAAATTAGAGTTAAGATTAAGGAGCTCAAACTTCCGACAGCTTTTTGATTCAACTATTGCGATAATATTTCCCTGATTCTATTTGCCCTCCCCTTTTTATTTCATCATCAAAAATCAGAATGTATTGAGAATACCTTTTTTGTGTATTTTTGCAACTTAAAGTATTGTGTGCTCATATTTCATGAAACTATCGATCAGTTCGAATCGATAACTCCAGGCAATGATCGTGATCGATAATATTATTCAATCGATTATTTGATGGTCATCATAATTAATAATTTCATATAATCTATTTGTTTAGTTAACACACGGAGAAAAAAATTCTGTTTAAATCTTAGAACTGTGTGATAAAGATATTTTTGGTAAAAAAAAAATCTATAGCCCGGGTAAATAAAACCAAAATATACGATGTTTAAGTAATTTATTTGGTAATTCTCCGTTCATATGGTTTACTAAAAATTCTGTTTTTCAAAATTATAGTATGTCACATCATCAAAAAATAGAAAACTTGAAAGTTAATTGAACAGAATGAATGGTTTTTTGACAAGCTCTAAGGTACCATGATAAAATTACAAATTCTACATTTACCAAATATAAAATATAATATAAAAACATATTCAGTTGTTGAATTTACCAAAATCAATACCAAAGCGCTTCTTTAAAAATTACCGAGCTTTATGGGACTCTTATAGTGTCGGAATCTGATAGTTCAGTCCATACATTTCTCTTAGTGAATGATTAATATTTTCATTACAGGAATACCGTAATGTTCATCACGAGCAATAATTTCAATCAATCAAATTATTGACACCAGTTTAAGTTAGCCTTTCACACCAATAAGACAAATTCAATAATTAGATTTATAGCAATTAAGATATTAAATTTTTTATTTTGCGTTCTGTTCCAGTAAAAAACTAGTAATTTTTCACACTTTCATAAATGTATTCTATACATTAAAGTAGGTA